TTACTTTAGATGAGGGAGGAGGGAAGAGAGGATGGAGTATGCTACAGAAGTAAAGATGGTTTTATCGATTCTCTGATTTTCCTGGAGGATGTTGATTTCCTAGTTTTTTTTTTAAAAAAATATTGTGTTCAATTTTCTTTAAATTGGGCTTTGAAAATTTACCAGTAATGTGTGGTAAAGGTTTAACAATCAACTCTCTTAAAGAAAATACTTGATGTGTAGCACTTGCCAATTTCTTTGGTGTAAATATTCACACCATAGCTTCGATATGAGTTTTGCATTTGTTAAAACCAAATTGTGCCCGCTTTGGATAGGAGGATTGGGGCAGAGCTATGATTCTTGTCAGGCACTAATTAGGGGATGAAGCCTGTCTAATATCACCTTGGGTCTCCTACAAACAAAATTTCGGGAATCTGTATTTCTTCCTCAGCCCCAACTTGAGGAAAATCGTAGCCTTACACAGGGTAAGAAGAAACCGTTTGTTTCTCTGGGTGTGGTTGCAGCTCATAAACTAACTGAACTGTGACTTCAGCACCTGGCCTACCACTTCCTGTGTGATATTAAATTTTGCTCAACTCCTGCCCCCAGTACAGCGGAGGTATTCTTGTGTTCCCCACATTCATCGCCTGTCATGTTTGGTAAATCCTGGAAGGAAAGGGAGGAGGGGGTTATGGTGGAAAATCTTGTCCCAAATATCTGGCCTCTCCACAGTGCAGGCTGGAAGTGGGAGCCCGTGGGAAGCCGAGATCACGCACCTTCGGAGCCCAGGCCAGGCTGCCAAGGCTGATGTTCAAGACAACGCGAAGTTACTGGAAGGTTGAGATTCACGTGGAGATGGATTATCAGCCTTGAGGTCTTCCTTCCAGGGTGCCATTGGGCCCAGAAGATCTTGATGCAAGTGGGTAAGTCCCTGCCACCACGCCACCCCTGGGTTGCTTTTTTGGATGAACACAGGGTCTCCCAGGGAGCGAGTGTGAGCACTGAGGTACGAGCTAATGTGCGTGACTTGTGGAGCGCCTTGCAGAGGAGTCTCCTCAAAGCAGCAAGAAGGGAAGAGCTCTGGGCATTCTAGACTCAAATTCTGTAGACATTCCCCTTCAGCTGAGCCAAGCCAGGGATGCTCAGAAAGTGGGGTCTTGAGATCGGATTAGGTATTCTGGGTAGTGAAAGAAAGACGCAGGGCTGCAGCCTGCAGAACTCTCTGGGGACCAGGATTTAGCTCGAGTTCCCCCGTCTGCCCATGAGATCTGAGCTGGATATCACTTTGGTGATCACGTCCCAGGAGGAGGACTGGTCAGCAATGCAGTGACCATGCTGGAACATTTCTGAAATATTTGGACTATGCTGATGCAAACCCCTCTTTTATTAACATTTCACGTTGCATCGCTTGTCATTTTATTTATGTAGCTGTTGCCTTTGCACCTGACATTCAACTGATATTTAATTTGCAAATATTGTGTATGTATCTGAATCTATTAAGGGAATCATTATTCAACGCTTGTGCAACACTCCAAGTAACATTTTTGTTTGAGGAAGATGTGCTATAACCTTGTAGCAAGCTTTGGACGTAAATATTCTCCAGTCGGGGATCAAAGTCCTAGAAGAATGCAAAGGCAAAGGGACCTTCTGAGAACACTGAGTGATGACAGCTCTGCTTACCTTCCTTTAGGAAAACCCCGGAGTAACCGCCCTGTGGGTCCTGTGGCTTTAGTGTGTGGCGGAACCTATAGACGCTGACTGTCAGCCATTTCTTTCGTCCTAAGTGGTCAGCACGCTGCTCCCCCACATCCTCCCAGGGCATGCGGTATTCAGGAATGATGGGAATATTAATCAGGATCCAGCCAGGAAAACAGAAACTCTCGTACATAGTTAATAGGGAGGGAACTAAATGCAGTATGGTACCCTGAACTGGATCCTGGCAAAGGAAAAGAACATGAGTGGAAAAGCTTACGAAATCCAAATAAAATATGTCGATTATTGTCCCAGTGTTACAATTTCTCAGTTTTGACAGATGTACCATGGTTATGTGAAAGTGGACATTAGGGGAACCTGGATGAAGGGCATATGGGACCTCTCTGCATCTTTGCTACTTTTCGGCAAATCTAAAATTATTCCCAGATAAGAAGTGTGTTTTAAAAGTGTTAGTGAAATATTTAAAAACAAAGATAGGTGGTTGCCTGGGGGCAAGAGACCACAAGGCATCTTTTAATAATGATGAAAATCTTGAATATGATGGTGCTTACACAACTATCAGAATTCATTGAGTTGCACATAATAAATGGGTGCAGTTTGTTGTTTGTAAATGATTCCTTGATAAAGCTGATTAAAAATCACCGATGAAGACCTAAAAAAGAAAAAGAGGCAGGGGGGAGAATCTAATCCATAGAAACCATTATCCAAGTGAAAGAAGAGTTGAGAAGCAGGGCTGTCCTTTTCAGGAGTCACTTTTTTTTTTTTTTTTTGCCTCCTGTTTAATGCTAAGTTTTAAAACAAATTCCTTGCAACCCTCAGAAGTTGGTGAGTGATTTGAATCCATTCTTGCTATACAGGGGAAACGTTTGGAGCCTGGATAAGTAAAGGAAAGGTCTCCATAGACTTCTTACTGGGTTGACTCCTGGATGTTATCCTCCTGCCCTTGCAATCTACAAAGCCATGAAAATAAAGCTCAATTCATCACTGTCGAGGTGAGAGCCGGGTTCAGTGTCCAGCTTGTCTCTGGGGATCCCATCTTCCTTTAATTTTTGACCGCGTAATCTTCACTTAGTTTTCATTTTTTGAGGCATTTAAGATCTTTAAGATATTATATTAAACAATTTTAGTTGGCATATTATTATTTTTTAAGATCGATTGTTGTTCTGTGGACTTAGTCTGACATATTGACAGAAAACCTAGGACATTTATTATTTGATTATTTCAAATTCCAGGGATGGGCAGTCCCAGGGATGGTCTGGCAACTCAGGGACCTTCTAAGGACCCAGTTCTTATGTTCTTCTACCCCAATTTGCTCGGTGTTTTGGCTGCTGTGTTCCATCTTATTGCCTCATGGTTGCAGGATGGCTGCTGCAACTCCAGATGTCACATCATCATGATAGAGTTGCTAATGAAAGGAGTAAAGGAAGGCAAAGGTCTCTTTATGAAATGCTCTGTTATTAAGAGGGAAATATGACTCTCAGAAGCCTGGTATATTCTGCTCTAGGTATCATTGGCCATACTTTGTCATGTGCCTTGCTCTGAATCAGTCACTGTACCGTAAATGGCATTGCTAAAATTGCCTTAACCCAAACTTCGTTTCTTCCCCACCTGCTCCCTGGGCTCCCTGGAACACAGGCACTCAAACAGAACTAGGATTCTGTTAGTGAGGAAGAAGTGAGCAATGGCTGCTGTGTAGACCATCATCGATGTCTACTAGAGTTGCTTCTTGGGAAAGTATCTCCTTCTTGTTCTCAGAAGCAGGGGACATGAGAATCCATGGTGGAGGGGCAGTGCCGTCCTCCTCAGCTCCACGGTGCACAAATGCATTGCCCTTCCTGGTCCCGCTTTTTATTCCAGCACCCATCTGGGTGCCCATATAGCCCCGCACCCTAGGGCCGGATCCCAACGACATTCAATTACTTTAGGATTTTGCATATGCTGTTGGCCACCAAATGACACTGGGAAAAGATGGGCGGGAGAAAATTCATGTGGGTAGAATATACATTACACATTGTCTGGAAAGTCTGTAAAGTCCCCAGCCATTGTTCATGTAACGAGAACATACTACATGGCTGGAGACTTTCTGGACAGCTCTCGTACACCCGGCAGTGGTTTGCTGGGTCAGATGGTAGTTCTCATTTTAGTTTTCTGAGGAACCTGCATACTGTTTTCCATAGTGGTTGCACTAATTTACATTCCCATGAGGGTTCCCCTTTCTCCACATCCTCACAAGCTTTCATTATTGCCTTTTTGATAAAAGACATTTTAACTGGGGTGAGGTGATATCTCATTGAAGCTTTGATTCGCATTTCTCTGCTGACTAATGATGTTGAGTGTTTTTTCATATACCGGTTGGCCATTTGTATGTCTTCCTTTGCTTGTTTTTAATTGGGTTATTTGATTTGTTTGTATTGAGTTGTTGGAGCTCCTTATATAGTCTAGTTATTAATCCCTTGTCAGATGGGGAGTTTTCAAATAGTTTCTCCCATTCTGTGTGCTGTTTCTTTGTTGATTGTTTCCTTTCTTGTGCAGAAGCTTTTTAGCTTGACGTGATGCCATTTGTCCGATTTTGCTTTGGTTGCCTGTGCTTTGGAGACATGACCCGAGAAGTCCTTGCCAGATATCTCTTTGACATACTGATTTTGTTTCCTGTAGATATATGCCCAGAAGTGGGATCGTTGGATCATATGGCAGTTCTATTTTTCAGTTTTTGAGGAACCTCTGCATTGTTTTCCATATTGGCTGTACATTCCCACTAGTAGCATACAAGAGGGCCAACTTCTCCACATCTTCACCAACACTCGTCTTTTAAAAAATAATATCCAGAGTAGAATGTTTTTAAATGTGTTAAATATCTTGGGATTTTAGCAAAGATCATAATATTAAAAACTCGGAGGAGGATCTTTCTGTCTCCCATTTTACATGCAAGGAAACCTTGGCTGCAGTGCTGTCCTGCTTTGCCCGAGAACCGAGGGTCATGACTTTGTGAAGCTGGGCTGACGTCCAAGTCAGTCTGTCGCACGGCCTTTATTCCGCCTTGTCCCACAGGACTAGACCGAGGTCGACACGTCAGGCAATGAGCTTATCCTCATCTGAGCCTGTGGGTGAGCAACATTTTTCAGAAACCAAGGCCCTTCCTCCTGTCTCATCAGTGGAAGGAACAGGAGAGAGAGCTCTTCCCCTTTGTGTGAAGCGGTTGATGTAGAAACCTCATGACCAGAGGTCCTGGACGACGCATCCTGTGTCCGTGTGTGCTGCAGTCTGTCCTTCCTCCCTGGGGCTCCAGGCCACACTGCTGGGTCTGGGCCATGTCTTCCCACCCGACTGCCCTCCTGGGCCTAGGTGAGTCCTGCAAGGAGGGGAGAGGGTTTGGGAGAGAGAGGAGGTGGGAGGCTCAGGGAAGTTCCCTGCTCAGGCCTGACCACAGTCCAGCAGACTCCGGGGCCCCAGGGGAGGAAAGTGTCACACGCCAGGCTGCCCCTTGGGTCTTCCCTGGGCCTGAGTCTGACCACAGACGACTCAGTCCTGAAGCAGCGGCCTGGGCATGGGGACGAGTTCAGCTTTAGGAAGGGCTGAGGGCACAGAGGACCTATTCTGAAGAGGGGTCTTGGGGATTTATCTTGAAACTATTTTGGAACAAGAAGAACTATACTCAGATATTACTGTTGAGGAAGGATGGTTTGGTAATTATGGGATGATGAATGCCCCCCACCCCCTAGTTCCGTGAACCCCCCTCTTGATAGCAGCCCTGTAAGGAAGCCAGGAGGTGGGTGCCGTTCTCACTGGGGCTTCTCTTCCAGTGCTCTGCCTGGGCTGCGCGATCCACACACAGGAGGGTGAGTCCCGTCTTCCCAGTCCCCTCTGCACCCGAGGGCAGCTCTGGGTGGGAGTGATGTTCGTTCTGGGAGGGCCTGGAGGGAAACCCTTAAACACACCCCAAATGGCGAACAGCCCCCAACGTGTAACTGTCACACTGTTCTCCACCTGTCGTTTGTTTTTCTTATTTTTTAAAATGTTACTTTTAATTGACAAATAATAATTGTGTCTGTTTATGGAGTACAACGTGATATTTTGATATATGTTTACGTTGTGGAATGATTAAATAAGGCTAAGTAACATGTCCATCCCCTCCCATACTTATCATTTTTTTTGTGGTAGGAATATTTAAAATCTACTTTTTAAAGCATCTTTGAAAAATACAATCAATTATTATCAACTGTAGTCATCCTACTGCACAATTGATCTCGAAAACTCATTCTTCCTGTCCAGCTGAAACTTTGTACCCTTTGACCAGTATCTTTCCCATGCCTCACAATCCCAGCCTCTGATAAGCAGGTTCTATCTCTCTACTTCCGTGCGTTCAACTGTTTTAGATTCATCATATAAGTGAGATCATGCAGTATTTATCTTTCTGTGCCTGGCTTGTTTCACTTAGCACGATGTTCAGTTCATCTATGTTGTTGCAAATGATGGAATTTTCCTTCCTTTTTAAGGCTAAATAGTATTCCGCTGTGTACGCCGCATTTTCTTTATCTGTTCACACTGCTGACGGTTGCCTAGACCGATTCCGTCTCTTGGCTGTTGTGAATAAGGCTGCAGTGGGCGTGGCAGCGCAGATGTCTCTCAGACACGCTGACTTCCACGAAGACAATTCAAACCCAGGGTGATCCACGTGACCCTCCCTGAGCTTTCCTCACGTAAACCCAGACCTCACTCGGCAGCCCCTTGGCAGGGAACATGACAGGCGCATGGGCAGAACCTGAGAATTCACCCTCGATCCCACCTTCTCCGTCCTCCTGTGTGCGATATATCACCCAGGGTTGACGTCCCCTAAATTTTTCTTGCCTTTCCCTCTCTCTTCATATTCTTCTCTGGACTCCCCTCCCAGCGAGGGTCCCTCAGCCTGGCCACGCCACTGCTGCCCACTCCCTTCTTGGCACCAGGGAGACAGTCATTTGCATTGCAAAAGCACAAATAGGACCGTAATACTTTATGCAATTTTTAAAAATGTCTTTGAACTTTCTTTACTTAATATTTTATTTTAAGGCAAAATATTGTTTTGCCTCAAAGCACTTCTACTTTTTATCTTCAGATAGAATCCAACCTTGCATTTCCCTGCGGTCCGAGCACAGGCATGTTCCAGCCACATCCTGTCCCCACGCCGTCTGGCTCACGTATCTCTAAGTACCTCCACTTCCTTTCATTTTTCCAAACACACCTTATTATGCTCAGCGCTGGGCCCTCTCACACACTGATTCTTTTAAATTACTTAATTCATTTTGAAAATGGACACATAAAAATTGTATGAATTTGTTGCGTATGATGTGATGTTTTGAAATATGTACACACTGTGGATGGCTAAGTCGAGCTAATTAACATATTCATTACCTCACATACTTACCATTTTTGTGTGTGTGGTGAGAACACTTAAAATTTGTTATATGAGTTAGCAATATCAAGACTGCAATACATTGTTATAAACTATGGTCACCACGGTGTACAGTAGCTCTCCTGAACTCGTGTCTCCTGTCTAACTGAAACTGTGTATCCTTGGACCAACATTCACAAGCCCATTTTCCCACTTTCGGTGGCGGGTGTTCCCTGTCTGCTCAGCTTGGGTAATTTACACTTGACCCTCAGGTCTCCGCTGGCTCGGGTACCTCTTCCCCTTGACTTCCCGGAGGAGGCCAGCTCTGCCTCCCACCTGTTCCCCCAGATTCCTGCTCTCAGCCTGAGGACACGCATCACAGTTTGTAGCTGCAGATTTGGACAAGTATTCTGTCCACTTCTGCCCTCCCTCCCAGACTTCCAGCTCCAAAGGGCAGGGACCCTGTACGGGTATTTCTCATACGTGTGGGACTCGTGGCACTTGGAAGGCGTCTCTAAAGGGATAGATAAGGAACTAAGACGTGGTTGAATGGAAGAATGAACAAACGGAGGTGGTCGAGGAGATGCTGGTCAACGGATGAAAGAATTTCAGTTAGACGGGAGGAGTAAGTTCAGGAGTGCAACGTGATGACTATAGTTAATTTCAGTGTATCGTATACTTGAAAATTGCTAAGAGGGCAGATTTTAAATGTCCTCCCCACAAAAAAATAAGTATGTGAAGTAATGCACATGTTAATTGGCTTGATTTAGCTATTCCACAATGTATACCTATATCAAAACAGCATGCCGTATACCATAAATACGTATAATTTTTATTTGTCAATTAAAAAACCAGTGAATGAGTGAATTGAGCCCCTGCCACCTCCTGCCTTTATTGGGGATTTTGCTAACTTTGACACAATCTTCCTGTTTCCTTCAAACCCACACTTCCTCTTCCGCCTCCAGCCAAGGAGGGACAAATGGGGGTTTTCAAGCGACTTTATAACGAGGAAATGGGAATTAGGCTGAGATGAAAGCAGACAACTAGAGGAAAACACAGACGTGCTTGCCCAACGGAAGACTTGCCTTAGAAATGGGGACTGTCATCAGCTGGGCATCTGCCCTGCGCAGATCTGTGCCGGGTGCTTCACCCTCCTCCTCCCCACTCCAGACTCTCAAAGAGCTTTGTAATCTCCCCGCCCCCACCCCTTACGCAGTCCCACCTGGGGACTGGCCAGTTGCCCTGCAGGCCCCAGCTCAAGTCATCTCCATAATCCTTACTTCTCTGTCCCTCACAGCAACCTGGTCATGTCATCCTCATCCTGTCCCCACCCCCCGCAACAGGGAGGGAGCCGGACTCTGCAGCACACACGCCTGGGCCCCAGGCTGCTCTGACACTTCCCAGGTGACCCTGAGCAAGGCCCAAGGTGTGACTGAGTCTCCAGGTGCTTACTGTCAAGTGTGGAAAGTAACTCTGCAGTGACGTGAATTCAAATGCGTGCAGATGGGCAGGAGAGGCAGAGATGTTTGAATTGTGATCATGGTTGCACAACTCCGCAGATTTGCTAAAAACATTGCATTGTGACCTAAGATGAATTGTGTGGATGGTGATTTCCTCCAAGGGGACACTGAGACCCTGCTCTGCTTCCCTCCTAGGGACCCTGCCCACACCCTCCATCTCGGCTGAGCCAGACTCTGTGATTCCCCCGGGACAGGCCGTGACCGTGGTGTGCCGAGGCCCTGCTGGGGCTGAGATGTTCCGCCTGGAGAGCGAGAATAAAACCCCTAAATTCGAGGATGTTAATATTGTGTCTCAACCTGGTGCATCTGAGACAGAGGCCAGATTCCACATTGAGGCATTTAGCGAAGTCACTGCTGGGCGACATCGCTGCATCTATCGTAAGGGGCCCGACAGCTGGTCTAAACGGAGTGAATGGCTGGAGCTGGTGGTGACATGTGAGAATGTCACCAGCCCCTGCCCCAGTCTCAGCTCTGCCCTCAGGTTTGTCCCCAGGTCCCTGGGCCTGTCCCAGCTGCCAGCCTCTTTCCATAGACTCCCTGCCCTCCCCCTGACCCCAAGCCCTCCCCTCCTGCCCACTCTGCACACACGTCCCCTCGGCCCTCACACTGCCTTAGATCCCTGGAGGCCTGGTCTCATCTGGACACCACAGAAGGACTGGACACATAGTCCCAGCATTGGGTGGGCACGGAGCTGGCCCTGCTGGGCTGGGTGGGCAGTGGGTTCCCAGGGATTGGGTGGGGGCAGACCCCCTTCTAGAGAACCAATGTCTTCTACTCAGGATAGTCCTGCTCCCTATTCCTTCCCACTGAGACAGAACCTGTGGTGGCCCCAGGCCATGTGTCCCCTCTGCTGTGGTCCACCTCCCACTGGGCAGGTCGCAGGGTCCAGGGATGACCTCAGACCAGGACTGGACAGTACTTTGGTGAATCTTTGTGTTGAGAACCATTCGTGCTTCTGTATGTGGTCAGCCCCAGAGATGTCCTGGAGTCAGGGTCCAGTAAGGAGGGTCCCACCCACCTCCGTGTCCTCCCAAGGCCTCAAAGGAGCTGTTCCGTGATGGTTCCATGAGGTCAACAGAGCACAGTGGCTGGAGGAGCAGAAGGAGTGACCAGCCTCCAGCAGAATGGCGGGAGGGGGTGGGCTCGCCCATGAATCCTGTCCCAGTGCCCTGTTTTCTCAGTAGTCTTGGGTCATTGTCTGGGATGGAGGGATGGCCAGGTGCAGCCATTGTGTTTTGTTCGTTTATTTCAGAATATTAAAGGGGTACAAATGTTTTTGCAACATGGATCACTTTTGCCCCGCGCTCGCTGACTGGCCACACGGCTTCAGGCAGCAGGAGCACACACGTCGCATCGGGACTTGATTTCCTCCCCACGGAAGGGCAGTTTCCACCCCCATCAGGGGGCTGCTGTGGGAGACAAATGAAACTGGGGATGAGACGGGGATTCTTGTGCTCTGGTGGGGACCCAGGAGGTGGTCGGCGAGAGGAAGTTCTTTCTCTTCCCACCAGTGGTCGTGTCTGCAAAGGTCTGCAGAGGGCAGGGAGTGGCAGCGTGTAACACGGCTTCCTGTGCTAAGGAAATGTCCCATCTCTGCGCCACCCGGTAGGGATGTCAGTGGCCGGTGCAGCTGGCTTCTCATTTCATTCAACTTCGATTACATTCCAGTGTCAAGGGCCGTGTGTGGCTACACACTGGACAGCGCAGATGTGCAAGATTCTACTGGACAGTTCTGGTCTCGCAGGAGCAGGCCGGGTCCTGGGGTGTGAATGGAGGTCCCTGTGGTGGGCACTGGGACGACCGTGAGGCTTCTCTGTCCCTCTCGGGCCTCTGACCCCATCTCCTCTGTATTCCCCCTTCTCAGGAGGTACGCAGAGGCCTCTGGATGACAGTAACAACAGTGGTGAGTGACGGGGACAAAAGAGCCAGAGCTTCGTATGTGCCTCTTGGGGAAGCGGGGGAAGGTCGGGCTTTGGGCTTGGTCCGGCTCCAGCACTACGACGGCTGGCTGTGTCCGTGCGCACAGAGGACCTCGGCTCTCAGACCCTGCTGTGAAGATGGGGCTAAGGATTCCTGTGCTGCAGGGCTGTTATGCACCTGGGAGATTTTATATATTAGTATGTCCACGGCAGGCAAGCAGCATGTGTGTGGTACACAGTAGGCGCTCAATACCTGTGTGGTTCTAGAAACCCATTTCCGTCTTCCCTAGACACACCTGCTCTTGGAGGGCTGAGGACAGAGCAGCTTTATGTCCTCATTGGGGTCTCTGCAGTCTTCCTCCTTTGTCTCCTCCTCCTGGTCCTCTTCCTCCATCGCCAGCGTCAGAGGAAACAGGGTAAGTCTCAGGGGGAGGGTGGGGTGACATGGGGAGGCTGTAAGGGCAGTGTCTCCCTCCTTAACTCAGACCCCGACTGTCCTCAGGGTCCCCCAGCAGCAAGGACGAGGAGCAGAGGCCACAGCAGAGGTGAGGCACCTGGAAGTGAGCCGCGGGCCACACCCAGTGCCCCAACCCCAGGCTCCCCTGATGATCATTTGTTTTTTCCCTCAGGCTCAGCCAGGCTGTTGATGTCCTGGAGAGGAAAGCAGGTGAAGGGGGAGGAGGGACAGGTGGGGGCAGAGGAAGTGGGAGCTCAGTACCAGTCAGGACACAGTGGGTGGAGGAGAATGTCTGGGAACTCTCTAGGAAGTTCTAGATTGAGTGCAGAATGACAAACATCTGAAGTTGTGAGGTTTCAGGCAGTTTCCCCTTCTGACGCCCACCCCAGAGAACTGACCATGTGTCTTCTCCCCTCCAGATGTGGCCACTGTTGAGGGACTTCCTGAGAAGGGGAGAGAGATGGGCACCCCAGTAAGTCTTTGTCCTGGTTATCAATTGCCATGTAACAAAATACCCCAGATTTAGCAGCTTAACAAAACTGTTCCACTTTCTTGGGTCAGGAATTTGGGAGTGGCTTAGCTGGGTGGTCCTGGCCCATGGTCTCTCCTGAGGTTGCTGTGTCAACCAGGGCTGTATCCACCGTTAGGCTTCACTGGGTTGGAGGATCTGCTTCCTAGCGTCTCCTGTCTGCTGGCGGGAGTCACGTGGGACTCTCCACAGCCACCGGCTTCCCCCAGAAGGAGGGATCCAAGACAGGGAAGGGCAGAAGCCACATTGGTGTTTGTGGCCTCACCTTGGAAGTCAAGTGTCTTCACTTATTCTGATGGTCGAATAAACTAACCCTAATACCATGTGGGAGGGGACTGCACAATGGTGCGATTTCGGGGGGGAGCACTGGGGCCCTTGGAGGTGTCTACCACTGCCCCCTGCCCATCCCCACAGCCCGTCCCTTCACTCACCCCCCACCCAGTGCTCACTCACTCTGGGTCTCTCTCCCCAGGCCCCTTCTGCAGGGGACCCCGAGGAGGTGACGTATGCTCAGCTGGACCACCGGGCCCTCACACGGAGGACAGCCCACGCCGCGTCCCCACAGTTCACAGAGCCTGTGGCTGAGTCCGGCGTGTATGTAGCTATCATCAGAAACTAACCGCAGGCCCACCTGGCCCCTGCACCTGAGGACACAGGAAGTAACTCTTGGAAAGTCTAAGGCAGCCATTTGGAGGGTTTCGCCTTGTCTTCATCCTGACCTGGAGAGCCAGCCAGTCAGCTCTCCTGGGGCCAAGAGCTGGAGCCTGGAGATCTCTAATCAACATCCAGAACATTCATTAACCGAGTGGTCCCTTCCACAATCGACCAGATACATGGAGAGACTGTGTTGTGGTTGCTTTGAGCCCCAGCGACAGTCACCTGGATATTTCCAAAGACCCAGCTACAGTCACCTGGCTGTTTCCAGAGCCCCAGCTACAGTCATTTGGCTGCCAGCTACAGGCACCCAGCTGATTTCATGAACAGTGTTGCAGCCTCCCAGCTGCTCCCAGGTGTCTCCTATGAATTCCCAACTTCCCCAGAGACTCCATTCCAATCACCTGCTCAGCTGACCCGAAAGACCTTCGCAGAATTTAATTGCTAACCTTGAGACTGGGCTATACTTATGCAGCTGAAAGCTGAGCTCAGTTATCTGGGTCATACTTTACTTTGTGCATCAATAAATAGTTTGAGAGACCCAACAGCTGGCAGCCCTGTGCCAGGTCCTGGGGGCACAGGTCACTTGGGCCGTGTCTCTGCCTTCACAGTTGTTCAAAGCTGAGTGCGCGAAACAAGAGCTACAGAGGAGATGTCAGCATTTTCTTTTTACTTTTTTGCATGTAATTGACCGAGATTGTATATATCCAAGGTGTACAATGTGATAATTTGCTATACACATGCATTGCAATTGCTGCCACAATTAAATCCATTAGCACATCCATCACCACCCACGCTGGACATGAGATCTCCTGAGCTCGTTCATCCTAGGACTTAGAGCTGGCGTCAGGGTTTCCTGATGGAGCGAGTCTATCTGGCATGAACGAGGGAGGGGCTGAGGGAAGATGTGGCTGGAGGAAGGCAGAGAGATGAACCCACCTACCCACAGCTACACACGTGCACACACAGGATACACACACACACATACACAGCCACACGTCCCAAGAGAGCCCTGAATCCAATGCTGAATTGGACATATCTG